ATTAACATATATTTTATGTTATATTAATTATATACTGTATTCTTACAATAAAGTAAGTTAGAGAAAAGAAAATGTTATTAAGAAAATCACAAGGAAGACAAAATATATTTACAATTTATTAAGTGGAAGTGGATCATCATAAAGGTCTTTATCCTCTTCATCTTCACGTTGAGTAGGCTGAGGAGGAGGAGGGAGAGGAGGGGTTGGTCTTGCTGTCTCACGGTGGCAGAGGTAGAAGAAAATCCATGTATAAGTGGACCTGCACAGTTCAAACCCATGTTGTCCCTTATCAGTTTATTACAGGGAAAATATATCCCCAAAGAGAAGAGAAACAGCAGGTACTGACTAGTTATTTCATATGCTGAGAAACCTATTCAAAAAATTTATCTAATAGGGAATTTGTATGTTTGTTATGAATTTGTCTCAAGTTTGTATTTGCATCATGAAGAAAAAGGGTTTTCCAGGCAAGTAAATAATGTCTACCTAATTATATTTTATGAAGAAATAAGGATTTTTAAACATGAAGGAAAAAACTTGTCTTTTGCTATGGACTGAATTGTATTCCCCCGAAATTCACATGTTGTAGCTTTAACCCTCTATGTAATGGCCCTCGTGATGGCATTAGTGTCTTTTAAGAGACATCAGAGAACTTGGTCTCTCTTTGCCATGTGAGGACACAGAGAAAGTGGCTGTCTGCAAACCAGTAAGAGAGCCCTCACCAGAATCCCACTGTGCTGGCCCCCTGATCTCATACTTCCAGCCTCCACAACTGTGAGAAAATAAATCACTGTTGTTTAAGCCACGCAGTCTATGGTATTTTGTTATGGCAGCCCAAGATGATTAATACATCTTTTATTACTCTAGAAGCACCTATTTGAGTGCAAAGATAATTAATTTTACAGTTACCATTTGTGTATGTGTTCATTAAGGCAAATCTGACAGGACCTCTCCTTGGCAATACTTTTATGATACTCTTTATCTTGCAAATGATAAAACTGCCTTTTAAAAAGTGTATAATGCAGCTTTTTCAGTAGTTTGGATAGGGTTGTAGCCAGTTAGTCAGAATTTGTGAAGTTTTACTTTTTTTGAGCAAAAACTCCAAAGAAATTATTATGTATTGTAACAAATTAAATGTTATACCTGGGCATAGTCTCACAGCTAGATTTTGTGTTTTATTATAAGAACACTAAAGTGGAATGAATTTATGTTGATAATCATTGAAGCTGGGTGTTGAGTACATATAGGGTTCATTGTACTAGTTTCTCTACTTTTGTGAATGTGTTAAAATGTTGATAAAACAAAGTTTTAAATAAATATTTATGTACAAACATATGAACTACATATAAGCTAGTGGGTGTACAAATTCATCTTGCAGTATGTATGGTTGCTTAGCTGTGTTTTGGTCTGTAACTTTTTTAAAAAATGGAAAAGAACAAACTCATGGCCCCATTTTTTAAAAGTGCAAACTGTGCCATGGATTTGAATGGGAGAGAATGTTTTACACTTTATTTTTACAGCTGCTTATCAGTTTCCTCAACTGAATCAGGGTGGAGCACAGGGTTCAAGAATTTCAGGATGGGGTGCCTCGGGGCTTTGTTGTTGGGGTTTGAAGATAATGATATCTTCCCAGGATAACCTCTTGGAGTGAAGACATTTTCCCAGAGGGGGGAAAAATAGTAGGGCCTTAAAGATGTCTTCATAGAGTTTATAAAGTAGTTGGAGCTTAACAGTCTATGGAGAACTCTGCCAGCCTTCTGGGAAAATGATGTGGTATTCATTGTTTTCACTTGGGCACTTTCCCAAGCTATGCATGGTTCAGACTAGATAAAGCCTCTCCACTCCATCCCACCCCTCCTCCACCCTAATGTTCCCTGAACCCTAGGTGTGTGTGGCAGGCTTGCTTCTCTCAAGTTAAAGCAGGGCAGGAGCTATCGGGTAATTAAGGAAAATATCTTTTCAGTCTTTTGCCTGCTGATGTCACACCATGCCTGCATTCTCTTGGCTATTGTGTGGAAATGAGAATTCCCACAATTTCAAAATGCTAGCTGAATAATTATTTAGGTTCTTGACCTCTTTGCACAATCTGGATTTCCATGCCAGTGAGATATGAATTGAGCTGAGGACTTTATGAGAAGTTGAAGGATTTTTTTTTTTATTTTTTGCAGAGTTTTCATTTTACTCATAACCTAGTTTTAGACTGGAGATGTGGGTGGTGAGCGTCCAGGACCTTCGCGAGGCATTACACAATCTATTAGAGTTACACAGAGTGGATAGAAAAGTACCCATAACCCACTTTTTTAAAGTGTTTCATAATATACATCCTAAACCCTAGAAAATTCTTCAGGTCTTGGATTATTGACATTGTTTCTTGATGGAAGAGAAGAATTCTCAAAACAAATACTCATTGCTTCTCTAGTTCACAAGGTAAAGGGGGAATGGAAGAGCAGGATGATAGCCTAAGAGGGTTGGAGAATGCCTTGCCTCTGGGTCTTGTCAACCACTATTAGTTAATTCAAAGGTTTAGACCCCAAACCCAGAAAAGAGTCCCATATTGGAAGGATTGCAGTTCGTATCACTGTTAGATTTATCACAATAAACTTTTGTTAAAATGAAGGCATACATTAAGTTCTTTTCTTTCCTTTTATCTATCCAGAATTTTTAAGGTAAATTTGTTGTATATGTTTTCATCACCATGAATCATATTTTAAGAGCTCACAATGTGGCGATCTGATTAGATAATTGGGAAAAGTTATATAGAAGTTTATGAGTCATAATGGTCCCAGATTTCAAGGAACTTATTTTTCAATGATTAGACAAATGTTTATTGAGTGCCTACTATGTGTTAGGCACCATTCTAGCTACTGAGCATATGGTAAAACACAAGAAAGATAAGGTTATAGTTCTCACAGATCTTGCATTCTAGAGTGGATAGACTCACACAAGACAATGGGACATCAGGTAGTAATAAGTTTTTACATGAAAATCAAACAGGACAGGGTGATAGTGAGTAGGTAAGTTAAACTGGATGGCGAGGGAAGGCTGAAAAGGTGACATTTGAGACCCAGATACTGGGAAAAGCCAGCTGTGGAAGACTAAGGGAATTCATAATCCAAGCGGAGGGAGTGAACAGTCAGAGCGGAAGCTTCAAAGTTTAACGTGCTCAAGGCACAGAAAGATCAGAAGTGCAACTGCAGCTTGGTGAGCAGGGGAGAGGGTCATCTGGTCAGAGAGAGGACCAGAAACCTGATCATAGAGAGCCTTGAAGGCCAGATTTTATGCTAAATCTAAAGGAAAGACATGGAAGGGTTTTACATAGAAGAATGATTTGGTCTGATTTGCATTTTAAAACATTACTCTGGCTACTATGTGGAGAATGGATTATATAAAGTGGCTGTAACTGTAATTCCAGTAAGAGTGACGGTGGCTTGGATGAGGATAGAGATGGAGAGAAGCAGACAGATTTGGGATATTCTGGAGGTAGGGAGGATAGCACTTGGTGGATTCGACATTGGGGGCCAAGGGAACGGAGGGTCTCCAGACCCTCAGCTTAGACTTAGGTGAAGCTATTTGCCAGATAAGGAAAGTGGGGAGAGGAATAGGTCAGGCTGGGAAAATAAGAATTTGCCCCGGGGCATGTTAGCTTGCAAATGCATGTAAAACATCCAAATTAGATGTGAAGGAGGCAGCTGGTTAAGAAGGAAGGCTGGGACTGGAAATATAAATTTGGGAGATATCAGCACAGAGTGGGACAGGAGCCAGTTGAAGTGGGTTGAAGAGAGAATGGGAGGTGAGAAATGAAGACAACTTTTATAAGATGACTTGCTGTAAATGCAGAATAGAGAAATAGGGTTGCAGGAGCATGTGGGATCAAGGAAGGGGTTTTAAAAAAAATAGTTACTATTTTTTTCTAAAGATGGGAGTATTAAACTATGTTTCTGAACTGATGGGAATGATACAGAATTGAAGGGAAAATTACAGTCTGAGAAGGGTCTTTAGGGTTACATATTCTATTTCCTCCAAACATAGATGCAAAGAGAGAAGACAATTTGGAAAACTAAATGCATAGCTTACTATTTGAATATATGTTATTGCAGGCTTTGGGAGAGGAATGGGACAGAAAGAGAAGATGGGCACAGAGAAAGGGATTAGAGAGGACAGGAGAGGAAGGAAATGTGATTTAAAAAATAGTAGAATCATAAAATATACCTGTGGCACCTGGGGAGGGGACTGAGGAATGAACAAGTAATGCCCCCACCTTCTAGAGACAAATGTTTCCAGGAGACATCATCAGTTCCATCATCCACTGAAGTTGCTCAGGCCTGGGGAGGGCAACAGTTAAGAATGGTGCTGGTTCTGCCCCTTGCTACAGACAAATGAGTTACAGAACTGTTTTGAGCTCAGTTTCCTTCCCTGAAACCTGGGCTTAGGAGTGCTGAGCTCATGAGTTAGTGTGTAAATTAAGTAAGACCATCCTTGTAAAGCACGTGGCATACTGAGTATCATTCTAAGCATTTTGAGCCTTTGGGCAAATGCTTCTCTAAGTTTCTCGAAGTCAGAGAACATGTCCTATTGTTTGTGAACTTTCCATGACATTTTGTATATAGTCTTAGCCTGAAGTGAATTTTTGAATGCTTGTCTTCTTTTTCCCCCCTTTTCTTTTCCTTTCTTTTTTGCTTTTCTAAATGCTACATCTCATTTCCCGCTTCCTGCCCACCAAAGCCTGCCCCCAAACCCACCTGTCCTCCGCCTCATGCTGCTCACCACCTTGCCTCCTATCCCTTCACATTTGCATCTTTAGTATAGAGTGTCCTGTTGGAGGTAGAATCATTGAAAGTCAGTATGAGGTGGGACATTATCTTATTCTGTCTTTCCTTATAAAGCAAGAAAGATATCAAGTATGAATCACTGTCTTAGTCAATTTTGTGCTGCTATAACATAATGCCAGAGAATGGGTAATTTGTAAAGAAAAGATATTTATTTGGCTTATAATTCTGGAGGTTGGAAAGTCCAAGATCAAGCAGCTGCATCTGGTGAGGGCCTTCTTGTTGAGTCATCCCATGGCAGAAGGCAGACAGGCAAGAGCACATGAAAGAGAGAGAGAGTGAGAGAGTGAGAGAGAGAGTAAGCACTGAACTCACTTTTATAACAAACCCACTCCTGACATAATGATATTAATTCATTCATCAGGGGGGGAGTCTCACAACCTAAACATCTTCCATTAGGACCTACCTCTCAACACTGTTGCATTGAGCATTCAGTTCCCAACACCTGAACTTTGAGGGATACATCCAAACCATAGCAAACACTTTGATTAAAGATGAAAGTCTATGCCAATATTAAATTTACCTTTTGTAGCAGAGTTCATGTATAATTTTTCTTCTTGATCTACTTGATTAACTTCACAAAGACTGGTTCCCAGGAAGCTCTCCCTAAGATAGCAGCTCACCGTCATCTCTTAGTCCATTTCCCCTGTATGTATATGTCTGGGGGGGAGGAGAGTTCTCATATTAAAATATTAATATAAACTCCCTAAGGACAGAGACCCAGCCTAGTTCTTTAAAAAAAAAGAAAAGCTTATTATGAGATGTTTCAGCCATAACAAAAATAGAAATAAAAATAAAGTACACATGTGTACACACCACCCACTTTAAAATATTACTTACACAATTATAGCTTTGCCTAGATCCCCTCCCTCCCTGTTGGTAATCTCCATCCTGAATTTGGTATTTGTTATTCCCATGTAGGCTTTTAATCCCTTGACTGTATAGGTATGAGTCCACACAAAATTCTGGTTTCCTAGGTTTCCACTGTGAGTGCCTGATAGATTCTCAAAGTTTTTTGAATGAGTGACATTTGCTTTCTTAAGAATAGAAACTGGATATTTTTCCTTTTTTGTTACTCTTCCAAAAATCTTCCACATTCATAGGTAATTTGTACTTAATGTTGTTGATCTTTATAAAACCTATAACATAAAATACAGTTACCCTACCAATTCTTATGGTGTATAACCCTAATAGGGACAGAATGTAATCTTACGATGTTGAGTAATAAAATTGTCTATGTAAGTGGCAGGAGAGAGATTGTTGTTGGGAACCCTGCCAATTGCCACTTGTGGATACTCAGCACCATATCTGCCTTTCTGGGCTCTTATCTTTTTCCACAGGAGAATAAACTTGGAAACTACATTTCCCTGATCTTGCCAACAGCATTCAGCTTACACTCCACCAGTGAGAGGCACTTGCATGAAATTTGGTAGGGGAAAAGGAGAAACCATTGTTTTCTGGAGGCAGCGGCAGATGGCTGAGGTGGAATTTTGCCTAAATCTTGTGGGTGTTCTCCTGAGAATCCCCCCATTGGTTCTACAGGCAGCTCAGATGAGTGGCAGTGGCTTCCTTGTGATTCCTGCACTTCTAGATTTCCTGAAAGAGGTATCCTGACCACCTACACTCCTGCAGCTTTCCCTGAGTCGTATTTGTCATTTAAGCCCCTTTCTATTTGAGATGCCTAGAGGGGTGTGTGTTTTCCTGACCACATCATGACAGACAACAGAACTTAGTCTACAAGCTCCCATTGGAAATCTGGTATAGTTTTATATTATTATCTGTGCTTCTCTGTGTTACTCTTCAAAATAATATTGTATATTCCCTACTCTGCCACTCATTTCCCAGCCCACTGCAGCCTGGAGTGAGCCCTGCTTCAGTCGGGATCCCAGCAGGAAACCAAGAGCACACTCGAATTGGGTCATTTGAGGAGAGTTTGATATAAGGACTATCCACAGAGATGCTGAGAGGATACAGGGAAGCTGGGAGAATAGTGTGGCACCGCAGGGGCTGGTAAGAGCAGGAAGCTGTCACTACCCCAGGCCTGCAGGAAAAGGGCAAAGAGACTTCACAGGAGCCTGGGAGATACTGTGTGGAGAGGCCACCCCACAGGAGTGCGAGCAGCAGACAAGAACCCTCCTCTCAAGGGAGCGAGGGGAATAGACACCTCAGCCTCTCTCTCTTGCCCGCTCATTTCCTGCCCATATTCCCCACTGGCCACGCACGGCCAGAATCCATGGGCGCTGTCGCTGCCCATGCAGGTCAGCCTCCCCGGGCTCAGAGAGAGGACAGATCGAGGTGGCCCAGCACAGGCCCTGCCACCAACTTTGCCAGTTCCCTCTAATTGTCAAATCCAGGAGATGCTTCAGAGTTTTTTCAAAATTTAGCTTCTTGGTTACGTTTTATAATTGACCTCTTCCTTGTTTGTATCTCCTCTTTAAGTTTCCAGCTCACTCAAAATGCCTCCTTCTAGTCTTATTCATTGGAAACTCTTTCTCCACCCTTCTCTTCAGGGATAGGATTCTCCAGGTATCCATTTCTCACCCTCTTTTTTCAGTCATTCGCTCTTATGCATTTAACTCCCAACAGTGTGCTGATAAAGACTCAAATCTTTATTTCTAGCCAAGACCTCTCATCTCAATTCCAGACTTACTGATAACAACATGTAGGCATGTTGCACTTAATTTTATTTTTGATTCTTTAGATTATTGCCAGCAATTGAACACACATTATGTGAAAATCTAGGTTACAATCACACAACTAGTGTTGGCAAAATGAAGAGAAGAAAAATAAATTTTATGAAACAAATATATAAATAAATATAAAATATTAGAACAGCCATTCACAATAATAATTAAATTGTATTTAATATTTTACCAACTTCCAATTATATATAAATCATAAGTTGACATGTATTTTTTACCACACACAAAGGAATACTTGTCAGGGCAAGAGTATAAAGGTATTTTATTTAACTGTTTGTTAGCTTGATTTATAATGCTTAAATATGTAGACAAATGGCAGATAAGACTAATGATACTTGCTCCAGGGCTCACTAAATGAAGAAGCAGGCCTACAAGATAGGCCCAGTCTTTGCCCTCAAGAACTTCGGCGTCTGGTGGGGACACCAAAAAGTAAATAGGCCATTGTAATTATTGCTGTGATATAAAAATACAGTGCTATGGGAAATATACAGGGGTGTAGTCAGGGAGGGCTTCCTGGAGGAAGTGATTTCTAGACTAAGAGCTGAAGGGTAAGTAGGAGGTTGCCAGGTGAAGAGAAGGAAGGGGTGGACAAGGAGAAAGGACATAAGAAGAGAAAGTTCAAGGCAGAAGGAGCAGTGCATGGCAGGGTTGGCCAGGTTTTTCTATAAAGGGATAGGTGGTAAATATTGAGGCTTTGTAGGCTATACAGTCTGTGCCTTAACTTCTCAACTACTTTTGTGTTGTAGCGCAAACGCTGCTATAGACAATCCATAAATGAATGGGGGGTAGATGTTCCAGTAAAATTTAATTTACAAAACACACAGCAGGCCCGCGGATCTTGGGACCTGGTTTGCTGGTTTGCCAACTCCTTGGTGTAGGGGAAGGCCCAGTGTTGGAGGAAGCGCCCTCAAGGGGCTGACAGTCAATAAATACAGCTGCCGCTTGGAGGATGGGGTGGAAGCAGGGAGTGATGAGTCTGGCTGCAGAGACCCGCGAGGCTGCTGCTGGGGGCCTCCTGGATCAGGGCAGCAGCGAGCAGAGGGAGAAAAGTGAGTGGTTTGGGGAGCTAAAGGGAGTGGCAGTGCGGAGGAAGAGGAAGACAGAGGTCGAGGCTGACTCCCAGAGTCGTGGTGGCTGGGCTGGTGCTGGGAGAAACAGCTCTAAGGTGAGGGAGGGGACAGGCGAGCGGGTCTACTCTGCAGCATGTGCGGTTCAGTGCTTGCCACACACACTTGGCTGTGTATATGCAGATATTTTTGTCGGAAATGTGCCTGGCAGTTTCTGTGAAGGTACAATCTATAAATCCCATGGAAGTCAGAGGGCAGCTGAACATGCAGAGCTAAATACCTTTGTAATGACAATCCTGGGGAATAATTGCTATTGACAGATTTTCTCTAGCCTATGGGGACTGCAGGCCTTAGACACTCTGCTTCCCTTTTATTCACAACTAATTTAACAACAGCGCAAGGACCCAGTATCTGTTGGTAACAGTAGCCAACTTGGTCAGGAAAGACAGCTTCATCAAGGCGGCAAATCTGGTCAACCAGATGGACTGGCACTTCAGACATCACGTGTCCCAGTGCACAGGATTTGCTGCTGGCTCGGGGTGGGCACGGGGGTGGGGGAGGCTATTCCTGCAGCCCCTCACCCACAGCCACCCCTGGAGTGGCATCTGGTGTAAGACGAGATGGTGCAAGTGGTGCACTGGAGTGAGCCGCTGAGGGCAGCCGGCTCATGAGCACCCCTTGACATACCCCTCACTGGGTGGCTTAGCTGTGCACATGGCTCACCTATGACGCCAGAACTAGGATAGCGTGTGCATCGCAGAAACAATGGAGAAATTCTCTGGATGTGAATTTGTCATCAATCAGAAGTACAGTCCGTAGAGGACCTGCCTTGGAACAAGTGCTGCTGGGGCTCTCTGAGGAGCAATGGCCCCGTGACACAGCAGGAAGCAGGTGCCATGTGGTGCTTCTCAGGGCTCTGCCTGCAGTGTTAGAACCTTCCAGCACCTCGCCGTGGATGGACGCCTCCCTGATCCCCTTTTAATCTGTTATCCACCAGGCTGCCTGAGTGACCTTTTTAAAATGTAAATTGGATCATGTCACTCCTCTGTTTAAATGCCTTTAATGGTTTCCCACTGCATTTAGGAGAAAATCCAAACCCCTCACCAGGGCCCACAAGCCAGACTGCTCTGGTCCAGTTCTTCCTCTCCGGCCCTTTTCACCTAGGTCCCTCTAGCACAACCATGGTGGCTTTCTCTCAGCCTTTTCAATATCCCGAGCTCCTTACTTTAGGATCTTTATCATTCCTTTGTTCTAGAAAGTTCTCTGTGCCCTTCCCCCTAGCATGGCTGGCTCCTTCTCACATTTCAGATATCCACTTAAAAATCACCTCCTCAGAGGGATCTTTACTGATTACCCAGGCTAGATTGGATTTCCCTCTTATTCTGGCATAGCATCATGTTCATTTTCTTTTTATCATAAAAATGACATAATTTATAATTTTATAATTATTTATGTGTTTGCTTATTTATTGTCATCTCCCCCTATTGGATTATAAGTTCCTTAGAGTCAGGACTGCAATTAGTTTATTTACCACTGTATTCCCAGAGACTAGCACTGTGCCTGGCACATGTAAGTTCAGTAGATGTTTGTTGAGTAAATGAATAAGTGACTAAAAAGTCATTCAACTGATCCATCAGTTGGTGGATCCATTCATAAGTATATATATGTTTGGTTATAAATATGTAATTTCTGTTCCAGTTACCTAGTAGCTTAAAATAACAATATATTATTATTTCTCATGGTTCTGTGTGTTCGATGTTCTCAGCTGGGCAGTTTTCTTAGACTATCTCATGCGGTTTTGGACCAAGGGCTGCTGGGGCTGGAGGCATCTGAAGTGACAGTTGCTGCTGGCTGTGAGGGGGAGCACGGCTGGGCTGTCCACGAGAGCACCCACACGTGGACTTTCCATGGGCCTTGGGCTGTTCACAGCTTCATGACTGGGTTCTAGTGGGACTGTCCCAAGAGCAAGAAGTCATACCTAGGAGACCCAGGCAGAGGGGCCAAGACTTCTCAGGACCCAGCCTCAGAAGGCACACGGTGTCATTTAAGCCCTATTCTATTAGTCACAAGTACGCGCAAGGCAGCCCAGATTCAAAGGGAGGACACCTCACAAGAGCATAAATACTAAAACTAGGCGGCAAGGTTCGCCAGGCGCCTGTCTTTGGAGACTAGCTGCTACCATCTCTTGTGTCATGATTCTGTAGATGTTTCTATTTCTAGTTGACATTCCTTTGTTTATTTCTCTTAGGCGCTTGCCCAAATCTTCTATAATGTGTGTCCTTTATTGCAATGACACTGATTAGTAAAGGTGGAGCATCTCTTCCCCAAGTCTTCAGAGGGCTGAAATGGGTTGATCCGTGACCAGTGACTCCGGGGAAGCGGTCTACATTTCAGATGCGACTTGCCGTGCTGCTGGCCGGCGTCCAGGAGCCGTGGTGCTCGCTGTTCGTTACCGAGAGCAGGCGCTGACCCTGGCCGCCCCTCGCCCGCTGAAATCACTGGCTCTGAGAGCCAAGCCCCGGGGAGAATCGAATTTGGGATAGTTTCAAGGATAGAAGATGCCAGCCCCGTCTCCGTTTTGCCTTGTAGCTGGTGTTTTTATCCAAATGTGAAAAGCGCTGTCTCCACCTCTCTTGCACTCCCACAAACCCCCCTTTCCAAATGTCCTTCCAGCTGCTATTTTTGATTCCGGCCTCAAGGCAAATGTTTCACTGTAGCAGAATTACTGTAAAATTCCTTCCTGTGCTCCCACAGATAATGGAAACTCAGGCTCCACAGAACCTAGGACAATTCCCTAGAGAACCCCAGAAACATACCATTTCAGAAATGGCCGCAAGGTAGTCCCAGAAGACAGATCTAAGGAAACAGAGCTACCATAAGAGGTTATCATCAGAGCGACGGGTCAAACAATGTGCTTGTTTTTAATGGCAAGACTGAATCTAGGTATGTTTTCTTTACTTTTTGTGTATCTTTTTTGTGTATCAATTCAGTTTCAAAGCACCAAAAACTATAGGACAGAAAATAATATCGTGAAATTGACTTATGGGTCTGTAAACACACAAACCTGGGCTATAAAAGCACTTCAGTGGGCAGCCGTATAAACAAGGAGAAAATCTTATCCAAAAACAACCTGAAAAACTGCAGAGGAAGCAGCATCCTTGAAAAACAATGAGTCATAAATCTTTTTTTTTTTTCTTTTCTGATGGAAGGAGAAGACAAAAAGGACTAACGAGAAGACTGATGATAGGTATTTCCATTACGCTGCTGTTTCAGCATGTCCGGGGAAGTCCTGAGGATGGTCAGTGTCAAGTTTAAGAAGTAAGGAATCCTTAAATTAAACACTTCTAGAAATCTGCGTGTTGTCTGGAAAGAGTGATCCTGATTGCTGATTGGTTATTGCCACAATGCTTCAGCTGTCGAAACATGCATTTCACTTCAAATTCATTAGTTCAAGGCTAAGACAAGCTCAGATGGCCACTTTTATTGGATTTATTTTAAATTATAAAAACAGGTTGTTTACTGCATAAGAGAGCAAAATAATAAAAGAAAAAGAGGCAAGCCAGAACTTAATTTACTTGAGAATCTAGTTATAAAATTTGATGATGGCCAAGTGTTTTCTGCAGAATTCTCCCAGGGATAGAGGAGTAGAAAGTTAGACTTAGGAGAGCAAATGTATAGGTGTTGGGTAGATTTGGCCTCAGTTTTTCATCCCTTCCCCTTTCCATGCTTCTTGTCCTGTGACTTTGCAGATCATCTCCAAAAGGGGAAAGGTGTTTTTTCCTACCCTTTTACTTTGAGTTTGGCCATCCAATTTACTTGGACCAAAGGAACACTCACATATGTGATGTAAATAATGGCTTAAAAAACATTTGCTCAATTGGACATGTACTCACCCACCGCTGCCACTGCAAAGAGAAGAATGTGCCCTGTATGGCTAACGGGTCCCAGGAGGGGAGGAGAAACACACACAACAGAGTTGCCCAGCTAGAAGAGTGCTCCAGCTAACTACAGATGCATGAGCAAGCCCAGCCTAGATCAGTCAAACCCCGACCAATCCCTAGATGCATGGACTGTAATAATAAGGGACTATGATGTTATGGTGGACTATGATGTTATTGTATAACTATTGTTATACAATAATATTTAACCAATAGAGGTATGAGGGGATCATGTGGGCTCCCCAGGTCGTTCAGTAGCCTCAGAATGACTCTAATAAGGGTTAATGACCACATCAATCGACAGAGACATTAGCGGATATTTGCATCACAGGTCCATCCTTCCCATCCAAAACCGCAGAAAGCCTTCCCTATTCTAAGGAAAGATCTTGAGACTTTATGTGAAAGCTCCCATGTTGGTTTGAGCTCCTGCAGACGTTAACTCTGAGATAAGGGTTCAAGTGCAAGAAATTTAAGTAGTGTAAGTATGGCAGTGAGTGATACAAGGAAGGGAAAATAGACAACAAAGGATGTGTTACCAAGCTGGCTACTACTGTGGGCAACTGGAGCTTAGTCCCACGGGGCAGGTCTGAGAGCCAGTGTGCAACACACATCGGAGTAAGCTCATCCAGGGATGGGAGCTGAGGTATTTCTCACTCCTGCCAGGTATTGGCTACGGGATGCTCTGAGATTGTGTGTGTCAGCGGGGGGACTTCCAGCCTGCCACACAGCAGTGGCCAGGGAGCACCCTCAGGCGAGGAGACGCAGGTGCTAGTGACTGGAAGCCAGATAGTGCTGCACCAGAGTGGTATAGCAGAGAGATACAGGGCAGACAACAGACAGCACCTGCGACCCCCTTGTTCTGGTGTTGCCTCAACTTGGGGACCATGAAATCCTGGCTGGCTGGATGCCAGGCAGTCAAGCGTGGGCAGGTCAGATTGTTGGATCCGTGTGTGCTCAGCGGAGCACTGTGCTGCTTCTCCATGCCAATTTCCTCTCATACATTGCACCTTTCCCTGTAGGTTCTCCCATCCTTTCTCATATCCTTATATCACTTTTTAGGGTGTCTACCCCACTGGAGTGAAAATGAGTGACAACACCCATGACTGGCTCTTGCTGCAGTTGCCCACAGTCTGATAGTCCAGGTCCATCTGGTTTGTAGAGCCAGCGATGCTCTCTACGGAATTGGAAACACGGGGCCTGCAATTTGACAGTATCTACAGCGTAGGACTTCCCTGAAAGGCACAACTATGCAGGGTGGTAAGCACAGCCACGCCTAACTCCACTCGGCAGCTGTGGGTTTAACAAGCTGTGTGTGCTGACCAGCACTCCACACTTTTTCATCCAGCCATACCTACAGCTTCATGGGCTTTCCAGTCAAGAGATTGCCTCCCACAAAGGGATGGGCTATTGCCTAAGCTAGTTCATTTGCTTATAAATTGTTCAGTTAAATAGACATTCCAGAAAAAGTGTCTTATTTATTCTATGGCTTCCTATTTCCCCAGCACATATCCCCTGGGAACGTGTGAGGCTGGGTTTAGAATCATGGCCTTACATCTTTATTTCGGAGATGCTTTAATGGCACCTATAACTATTTTTCAAATCAGCATTGATTCTGAACTCTTTGGATCTAGATTTCCCTGGCCCCTCCCTCACCTGAGCCTCCCCACCTACCTGCTCCCCTCACTGTTCTCTCTAGCACCTGAAAGTCTGCTCCTACGCCTCCTTGGGTCCCCTGCCGCCCACTCGACATGACCCTCTGCACAGACATCCCTCTTCCCTGCCTCCCCTCCCCTGCCTTCCTGGTTGTGGACAGTTTAACCTTTGAAAAATAAAATCCATGAGATGTTAGCCACTGAGGAGAGAAACTTGGGACAGATTTCTGGGGTCAAAACAGAGAGGAACATGCCAGGGTAGCATGCCATTGCCAGAGCAGACGGGGAAAACCCCGTGATGTTGAAGCAGTGAGTTTGTTTTTCAGGAACAGAAGGCAAAAAGGCAAGATCCCAACCCCAACGCAACAACCACGGAACATTCCTCTTACTAAGAAACCATTGTACGAGTAGCATTATACTTAAGTGCTATAGAAATACACAAAAGAAGTACCAGACAGGACCTACTTTTCAGGCACTTTCAATTTAGCTGAAGGATAAAGTAAAAATTCAGAGAACAATCTCGAGGTAAAATATAACTGAGCACATGGCAGAGCAGAACAAAGAGTATGAGATGAGTAATAAGCAGCTGGGGTAGAAGGGCTGAGTGAGGTGAGTTAGTGCAAGAGAGGATCTTGGAGGAAATGAGACCCGAGCCAGGCCCTGGAGGAAGTAATTGACAAATGTAAACTCTCCAGCCGGCCACAGGGGAAGAGGCTGGGCCGTCTGCAGGAGTTGCATAACTCAAATATGCTCTGACCTGTTTGTCTGTGAAGACTCAGGCCAACTTTGAAGCTATTTAGCCTGCATCTGTAAGTCTGCACAAAACCACCGTTTTGGTCAAAAGAATGTGGCATGTCTGGCACTGGGTGCACCCTATCGATGATGTCATGCCTGTGGATCAAAGTTGAGCTAATGTCACCTGCAGCCGAAGAAGACTTAGAAAATGTAGCTTTATGCATTTTGCTTTTGTTTAGCCTTCTGTTTTCCAAAGTTAATTTTTAGGATAAATATTTTTGTCTTGATTACAGCTCTTTGTAAATGAAGGTCATTTTATAATAAGTCTGATTCCTTGGAGTGAAAGGCAAAATTTATGGAAATACAAATTCTCATTGATGTGTTAATTGTGCTAAGGGAAACAAAAGTCTTCTTTAAGAAAAACAAACAACAATAACAACAAACCTACTTTTTGCCTTAGGAGCAGAAAGCCAGAGAGAGACTAATAATGGAGTTTGCAGATTGTTCTTTCCTTGCAAGAGATATCAACTAAAACATGGTCTTTAGCCATAATGAAAACACATTTTTAAGTTCCTTGCTTATTTTGGCAAAATAGAAACAAGTGGTAATGAAACGACTTCTGTCAAGAGAGAAGCTTTGGCCTTATCACCATTGTTGAAAGCAATCCAAGAAGTACTATTTAAGACTAATTTTGGTGTCCGTTTGAAGAGACTTTTGAAACCATAAAAAAAGAGCCCAGACAATAAGCTGAATTGGAAGGATGAGTTCCTTCTTGGCAGTCAGTGTCGAATTACATTGTCCCCTGTCTGGGGACAAAGCAGACAAGTGTGCTCTTCAGGGCTGCCAATCCCTTACTTCTACAGTCCCTAACCCCCTGGTCCATGGGCCAGTCCTGGCCTGTGGCCTGTTAGGAACCGAGCTGCACAGCAGGAGGTGAGCTATGGGGGAGCAAGTGAAGCTTCCCCTGTATTTCCAGCCGCTCCATTGACATCACTGCCTGAGCTCCGCCTCCCGTCAGATCAGCATATTAGATTCTCGTAGGAGCAGGAACCCTACTGTAAATTGCGCAGGTGAGGGATCTGGGTTGCACACTCCTTGTGAGAATCTGATGCCTGATGATCTGAGGTGGGGCTGAGGCGGTGATGCTAGCGCTGGGGAGCAGCTGCAAATACACATTATCATTAGCAGAGAGGTTTGACTGCACAATAAATGTAATGCACTTGAATCATCCCGAAACCTTCTTCCTGCCCCTCCAGTCCGTGGAAAAATTGTCTTCTATGAAACCGGTCCCTGGTGCCAAAAAGGTTGGGGACTGCTGCTGTACTTGACAACCACCATAAACAATTAACAATAAATGAAATTTATTTATTTCATAACAATTTCATAACAATAAATGAAATTTAACAATAAATGAAACTGACAGCCTACTTCACCAGATTGGGAACACATCTGAACTTCCACAGAAAGACAGCTGGACTTGAGTTCATTTCCCTGGAGGCGGGACTACACAATACCTAATGAAAACAACCATGGGCACATATTTATTTCCAAGGCATTTGTAGCCCGTGCTCTGTTTCCAGTCTCACAGCAGGACCAAGATCAATTTTCACATCTTTTCACTAAATGGATGGGATGTGAAATTACTCCTATTGACAATAAGCATTCTCAAGGGCTCTGGTAATTGTGTAGCCCAGCACAGCAGAAAAGAGGCGCTAACAAAAGCACATAGACAATTGGTCACCATCAATTTCCTCCAGTGCTGGCACATGTGAGTAACTGCACTAAAAAAAATGAGGTCCTGGGTAAAGCCTATGCCTTCTCCATAAGTAGCAAATCTAACCAGCAGAATACGCCAGGAGGCGATTCCTTCTCCAGCAATCATTGGAAAGTTTGTGGCACCAAATCAAATCAGAGCCAGGATTTGTGGACTGAGAAAGCAATGGCCTAACCCGCTGTTTGGTAATTTCTGCATATCAGTTCCCCCTCCCCCATC